CACACACACACACACTTTTGATCGTAAGTAGGACATGTTCTGTTGTCATAACATGCCTCAAAGCCTCTTATATGTTGATAAGAACTTTTCGCACTAATGGTTGTGGAGGCAATGATGTTAAGTGCCAAATTCTGGGCTTCCAACATGACATGAATTTGGCAGGACATACATACACAAGTGATGCTTTGAAACATGCATGCGTTTTTAATATTTTAAAGTCAAAAACAAAAAAGGTCTGCACTCTAAACAAATGTCCTTGTCCTTTTTTAAGTCTGTGTGCATTATCAGGTGGCTGTCATTAAAAATCAAGTCCATCAAAAAATAAGAAGGAATCGTAATTGCTCCTGTTTGTTATTATTGTATGCTGGAGTTGAGTTGGATTTGGTTGATTATGTTGGATTTTGTTGATTATGCATGAACGTTGCACAGGCCTTCAGCCGAAAAATGACATTTGTATAGAGTACAGACCTTTTTGATGTGATTTGGATGTTTTTCAACTCAACTCAAAAAGGCATATGGCTGATGTGTTGTAGAGGTGGCTTTGCCAGGGATGCCTTGCGGTAGGGTTTGGGCACAAATGCTTCGTTGTGGGTTGTCCTGAAGTCATGTTTGCTGTGCCGGGGCTTTATATGGCTGTCTTTAACCTAGAAAGAGATTGATCAGCTCTAAAACTGGTCATTGAACAACTATTATGCTGTACAACCCCCTAAAAGTGAGAAAACTGTTGATAATTATTGGGTAGTATCCTTATTCGACAATATAATTTTGTGACACTTTTTAACTAATTGTCCACTACTTCTAATCACATGGTTTCAAGCTAACTTTGGCACCACTCAAGCAAACAAAGGCCCATTTCACAGCTCAAGACGATATAAAAAAACTGACCAATGCCTGTGTTTACTTCTGAAGGACTGGAGAATAAATGGGAAACCAGTGAGCTGGAGTTTATCTGTTGTGAAATGTAAATATTTTACCTGCTGAAGCTGGCTGGGGCTCATTTTCTGTCTTCTACAGTTCAATGGGACCAAATCTTTTTGCATGGTTGTAATCATCTGATCTGGCTCTTAAAAAAAAAAAAAAGATAATTAAACAACTTTATTTTTACCTTTTATATTATTTTTTGAATATATTTTATTATTTAAAAAAAAAAATTGTCAGGTAACCAGGGTTATTATACTAAATTAAAACTAAAACCAATAAAAAAAAATAAAAATTTTTGTTACTTGAAATAAATGTAAAATTGTAACTGAAATAAAATGTAAAAAAACTTGACATATTAAAATAACTAAAACTGAATTAATAAAATAATAAAAAAAACAAAACGATATAGACATTTTGAAATGATAACATTTTGTGTTGTTTTAATGATTTGGAAATTTTAATTGTACTTTCGTCACAAAAAAATCTAATTCAGAATATTAACATGTAATAGTAGCTCAATAATACAAAAAACCACTGAAGGTAACTTAAAAATACTCTGTGTAGTAACATTTAAATTAAGTGTTTTTACTCTTTTCAAAAGCAACAACAAAAACACTTAGTATGACTGAACAGCCTGACAACATTCAGTTACCCCAACAAGAATCATTAAGGGTCAGATCAAGCAGAACAGCCGCCCATATGCTCTTTTTACACTCTAAGTGTATAATGGGAAGTAATGTGGGCAGGTCGTTTCATTGTGAAAATACAGGTGAAAGTACCTTGCTCAAACAGCACATGGCTCGGTGGGTAGACTGGAGGCTTGGGATGGACCACCTCTTTTGGTGGGAACTGCTCTTGTGTTGCTGTGCTATAAAAGCTTCCAACTAGATCAGGCCTCCCAAATTCAATGCTGCTGAGAGTTCTGACGCTGGCTCCATCCACGTGCACTGGGAACTGTGAGCGGTTTATCTGAATGGCAGACATCTCAGTTAGAAAAGGCATGCTTTGCATTATCTAGTTCTTCAAGAAAGAGTAAGTGCAACAGGTCAGACCTTTGGGAAGAAGCACTGGTTTGTTGTTGACAGTCTCTGCTGTTCGCCTGTGAGCGTCTCTCCTTTGAACACACAGCTGAGAGTCGGGCATCTGCGCTCTAAGTGAATAGGGCCTGGTAAAAAAAACAAACACAGTTATTAAAGTCATTGACGAATAATTTGTTAATTCTCTCATTGTGTGATAAATGTAAAGCAGAAGTTGAAGGCAGGTTGATGTTTGAGTAAGGAATATTGAAATTGCACCATCTGCTGCTCATGCTGTGCTTTTAACATGCACAAAAAGCAACAGATAAAGCCGACTTTCTTTTTATTGAGAAGAGAGCCCAACTTTGAATACTAGGTATTGAGGGTGAGACACAAGCAGGCCAATACAAGGTCAGAATAAAATAATAGAGAATTAAATAGTTCAGAATTAATGTCACGATTTCAATCTTTAGAAAGGAGACTTAAAAATTAAATGTGACAAATGCATTGAAATGTTACATTTAATTAAGATATTAAGTTAATGCTTTCACTTATTTATAGTTTGAAAACTGCTGTACGGCTTCAGGAGAAAACTACATTCTCATATCAGTGTTATTTTAGTAACATTCAAATACTATTATAGTTTTTATTAATAGTTAAAAAAAATAATATTTTCCTTTTCATTTTAACTGTAGTTTTTGTCATTTTTGATGTTTTTAGGGTTTTTATTTGTCTATATAATTATTATTTTTTATTTCAGTTTTAGTTATTTTAGTATATCAAGTTAAAGGCACAATATGTAAGTTTAGCCGCTAGAGGGCGCGTATTCAAAATAAACAAATACAGGTGCATCTCAATAAATTAGAATGTCTTGGAAAAGTTCATTTATTTCAGTAATTCAACTCAAATTGTGAAACTCATGTATTAAATAAATTCAATGCACACAGACTGAAGTAGTTTAAGTCTTTGGTTCTTTTAATTGTGATGATTTTGGCTCACATTTAACAAAAACCCACCAATTCACTATCTCAACAAATTAGAATACTTCATAAGACCAATAAAAAAAAACATTTTTAGTGAATTGTTGGCCTTCTGGAAAGTATGTTCATTTACTGTACATGTACTCAATACTTGGTAGGGGCTCCTTTTGCTTTAATTACTGCCTCAATTCGGCGTGGCATGGAGATGATCAGTTTGTGGCACTGCTGAGGTGGTATGGAAGCCCAGGTTTCTTTGACAGTGGCCTTCAGCTCATCTACATTTTTTGGTCTCTTGTTTCTCATTTTCCTCTTGACAATACCCCATAGATTCTCTATAGGGTTCAGGTCTGGTGAGTTTGCTGGCCAGTCAAGCACACCAACACCATGGTCATTTAACCAACTTGTGGTGCTTTTGGCAGTGTGGGCAGTCTCAGTCCTGTTTCCTGAAGTAAAGCATTAGAAAACGGAGAGCGACCTATTGAAACTGTGGCTCGATTAATGATGTACAGCTTTTCATTTGCCCAGGACTGTGGACAAGTCTTTTGTGGGTGATGTGACCAATCAGACGCGAGGAGAATTAAGCTTTGGTTTCGGCAATGATGCAGAAATTGTTATTTTGATTTGTGCTATAACTAATTTCAAAATCAAATCGTCCCTGTATGTTCATGAAAGAAAGAAAACAAGCAACTGTCATCCAAATCACAATAAACCTCCCCCAACTCCCTCAAGTGTTCAAGCGCCACAATCCAGTGCTATGTACATAAAGAGAGGCAGTAAGTCTCATGTGTACGAAGCGTGTTTGCTTGCCATGTACAGTATCAGCAGCGCACAGCCATGTTGCTTCACTTCCCCCTATTTAAATGTAGGTGTAAGACAGAAGTAATATATTCACGTCCATAGAGAGAAGGGAAAAAACAAGTCAGATGGGCAATTTGAGGTGTCTGCCTGAAAGCATGAAGCAATTTATCCTGGATTGGATGGATCTTTTTTTGTGTTATGATAATATCCACATAATTTATTCCTGAGGATCGGCTCTTCTTTAAAGCCGTCTGACTGACAGACGCAAGGATGCCCGTGTAGCGAATTTAGCTCATGGGGAAATATGAATAATTAACCATAACTAGTTATAATTAACTATTCATATTTTAGATCCACTGTAGATATTTAGCTGACCACTCAGGGTCAACTGTCTTGTCAATTCTAAGACGTTAATTTCCTGGTTAAGGGAAATAACTTTCTTACTGTACAATTCTATAAGTTTGTAACGTAAATCTGCATGATTATTGACTCCGGTTATGAGTAAACAATGAACACGTCAAGTGTGATACAAGTAAGGTTTTATTAACTACATAAACACTTAAACTAGTCTAACATACTACATAAACACATTAAGCCGGTCTAACATACACATACACACACACACACATACAGTTGGTATAGGAAAGGGTTAAAGTTTAACTCAGCATAGAAAGAGGCATAAAGAATGGATTTTATGGAACACTTTGCATGTATATTCAACAGATCAAAGCCTTCAGGGATACGTCAGATTCTGAGTTCAAACACACCTTTGTAAAAAGGTGTAACTGATACTTAATGTATCAATTAATAAGACTAAGTTTGATACTTAGCGAGTCTCGGCGGTCTGAAAGAGATTCCTGATGCAAATCTTAAAGCTTCCCGTAGATCTTTGCTGAATTCGGGTCGATGAGAAGAACCAGTTTGAGTCAGTGTTACTTGATGAATGGAAAGGACTAGGCCGAAGAAAGGCCTGGCACAGATGCTTTGTATCCTGAAGCGTTTTTCTCACATCATCTTTGCTTCTGACTGAATCACCGACTGGGGCGGGTCCCTGGAGCCGGGCCTTTAAGGTCGGAGAAGATCTCCGCCTTTCAAGATGGGCTTGTCCAATGAGCAAAATGGAATTTCCGAGCGGGAGGTGGCAATTGCTGGAGGGTTTACGACCCTTTGTTCTCTAAGCATGGTAATTTGCAAATGGATTTAAATCGAAATTATTAACGATTCTCAGGGCCCTAATATATATTGCCTATGTACCACCATATAATATACACGCTTGTTTCGATCATACGAAGGCAAATTCATAGATACTAAACAAGGTAGGATTACATATAGTGAAAAGGGAGGATCAGGAATGGGTCCTCTCACAAGCATACTAAAATAGTCTAAGAATATCAAAGACAAAATACACAATGACAATAATATACTCAATGGCCTGAAGAAATATGTGTGTTCATTCAAATAACGGTTTTTCTATGAATTAACTAGAACACAGTCCATTTCTACTCTGCTTTTCCTTGGGACAAGCAGGGATTTTCCCTGCTTTACATACTTTTGGCCAATAAACCCAGTGATATCAGCGTTGGTTGCCATGCAACAAAGAGGCCTGTTCGACTTCCTGGGGTGTTACGCATTCCGGGGGGAAGGGTCCATGGGTCCTCATATGGCTTGTTAACTGAGGTTACAGAGTATTTGTCATATAAAAAGAGAATATATAGTGTGTTGGATTGGTCCAGACGCTACATTGATGATGCTGTGACTGAGTGTGGAATCATGGGAGTTGTCATCTTCATCCCCACAGCCGATGCAATCCGACGGGACTCGGGCAGAAATCATGTTCATGGATGAGCTAATGATTTATTAACGTAGTAGAATGAAGCAGGGTGAGGCTGAAAGCCGTCGAAGCGAAACGAGGCCACTGAACGAGCATGACACACGGCTCGAAAGCAGCGGAGTTTTTATAATGCCACAGTTGACTGCTTCCGCTTCTTCCGGTCGTAAGTATGTGGTGTAAAGCAGCGCGGTTTTATCATACTAGATACGTTTGAAAGTTCTGTTATAATGCTACTCTGTGCGGTCGTCACCGGTCTATTAAAACGCACAACCTAGTAAAGCGTCTTTGGTGTTTCCATGTTTTCTACAAAACAAAACCGGAAATCGAGGGTGTGTGACGTCATTGGCAGGTGACACAATGAAACTATAGACACAGTCCGTGCCACTAGTTAAAATAGCTTATTTCTCTGGATTTAAACATTCTTCGAAACATTTGGGATAATGTAAGTACACAAGTCAGCAGAATATATAACACTGTTCTAGTGGTTTTTGGATATTTTAATAAAAAAATCTTACATATTGTGCCTTTAAACTAAATAAAATGAGAAATGTTGCCTTGGCAACTAGCTGAAAGAAAAAGTTTTTTGATATATTTTATTTTATTTCAGTTAACGTTTATTTCAATGTCTTTAATGGTTTTAATTTTAGTTTCAGTTAACTATAAGTCCCCCTGTCCCATATTCTGCATTAAAGAACAAAAAGTACATGGCATGCAGTTATCATACATACCACATTTGTGTGCACGAAATTCCTCAGATGAGTTTGTTGTCCATTTGTCTTCAGGAACTTCCCGAAGGTTGATGGGCCGAGATTTATTTATCTTGGGAAGCAGACATTCCTTGAATTCAGTAGAGCTGTTTAAAAAAAATGTTTCTGATTCTGATAGAGCTTTCTTGTGAGGTTTAATACAATCAGACACGGTACAGTATTAAAATGTGCATGCTGTGTGTTTATGCTGCGTACAGAAGCCCAATGGACACACCTGTGGTCACCTGACTGTCCGAATGAGGTGAAATATGTTGTTTGTTTGTCCACTGTCTTTTCTCGGTCTCCCATCACCACAGATGGATACTGAATTTGTTGCTAAAATAAAAGACAAAATTATGTTATTGAACTGCAACATTATTGGTGCTCTCTGAAACCACTGCCAAATTATATAAAATTGCCTTCTCTGC